GTTCTAGACCTTAGGGACCCCAAAAAAACATAAGCATAAGCATTTTACGGGGATATCCCTACCTTATTGGGCTTCATTATAGGGGGGGTTATATGGGATATCCCTATCCTAATTTTTGCTTATGTGCTTTTTTGGGGTCCCTAAGACCGGGAGCCCCGAGGCCGAAATTGCGCAAAGGCTCTGAACATGCATGTACAGGGAACTCCAGAAAGCTGGAATATGGATTAATCCCAAAGGGTCTAAGTATCATCTTGGTATATACTTAGACCTCCAAAATACCCCAGAAGTATATGCCAGAATGATACTTGGACCCTTTGGGAATGGTAGGATCCCCTATAAGTTACCTTAAAGGGGTTACGATAGTGATATTCCAACTTTCTGGCTTCTACTGTATGGATGAAGGGATGGATGGACAGATGGACAGATGGGGGTACGATGCCTGTTTATGTGTGTGTGTGTGTATGCCACTGTGCGCGTGTCTGTGTATTTGTATGTGTATGTGAGTACATGCTCATAGAGAGAGAGAGAGAGAGAGAGAGAGAGAGAGAGAGAGATATATATATATGTAGACATATGGGTATGCTTGTATTGCATGTAGACGACGGTTGCATATAGACATGTGTTTGTGCATGAACCCCGATAGATACAGGGTATTTCGATGTACCTATCCGTAGAGATGTGTATAATGGTTGCGTGCGTACCTGTATATATATATATATATAATTAATAATTACATACATAGGTGTGTGTATGGGTATACACATATGCACATGTATAGCTCATTTACGAACATATGTACACAGAAACGATAAAAAGATGGTATGGTCTGTGAGCCCAGAAAGCCCTAAACCCTAAACCCTAGACCCTACACCCTAAACCCTAAACCCTAAACGCTAGACCCTAAACCCTAAACCCTAAACGCTAGACCCTAAACCCTAAACCCTAAACCCTAAACCCTAAACCCTAAACCCTAAAACCCTAAACCCTAAACCCTAAAAACCCTAAACCCTAAACCCCTAAACCCTAAACCCTAAACCCTAAACCCCAAAACCCTAGACCCTAAACCCTAAACCCTAAACCCTAGACCCTAAACCCTAAACCCTAAACCGACAGAGCTCAGGAGAACCTGGAGCAGCAAGGCGCTGCAGCCATGGCTGGCACGAGAGCGCTTAGTGCCGGCTAGATCACTGACTTCGCCCAGGGATGATACCTTCCTTTTCGAACCCTTATAGAGCCCGTACAGATCCCTTATAGAAGCCTTATATGCCCTACTTATAGCTGGACATGAAACTCCAACTGTTGATGGACAAAATCCTGCATGACCCCAAGGGCTCTAAACTATGGGAATTACGGTAAATTCCTTATAACGGGTAATGCAGGATTTTGTCCATCAACAGTAGTTTGGGTTTAGGGTTTAGGGTCTCGCGCTTATCGGATTTACGGCGTACCCTAGCTAGCGCGACCTGTCCGTTGTACATTCACAGTTTAGGACTTACGACCAGCTAGGCGTGCTTTCGAATATACGTAGTCTCTGGTTTACAGGGCAGGAAATAGGTTGGGGCATGGAGCTTGAGACATAACTCCTCGAATTTCAATTGGTGGCCACACCAAATCAGCCGGTTCTCCAAAACCGAAGCGATATTCTTAATAGGAGTAAAGCCAGTAGCATTTTAATGGGCACAAGGGTCATCATCGGAAGCGCCGTAGCCAGTAACGTCAAGTTTAGCTAACACACACTAGCAAGAACCGCTTATTCTCGGAACAGATGAGACTGATGAAACAGGGTCATAATTCTGAATTGGCTACAAGGCCGTATGCATACTTAGTCATTGTTGATATAGTACAGCCTACACCGAAAACCCAACCCCCGCCCCAAACCCAAGAACTGCAACGCCTTAGAGGCCGCAAGCCCTAAAAGCTTAAAAGCGGTAACCTTACCCTCGGTTGTCACATTGGCAAACAAGAAGCCCCATGAAAAGTCAAGCTTTTGCACTTTGCACCAGCTGCCGTTGTGGTGCTTGGAGCAGCTTTCAGCTGCAGACCCTAAATCCTAAAGCCTAGGCTCTCAGCCTCTAAGCCTGTAATGTAGGATCCTGACTAAGAAACCCTGGCCATATGACACCAAAATAGGAGGATATTAAGCCGGAATAGCTTCTTGGGTGCAGTGTTCGAGGATCTTGATTCTTATTCGGGATGTTACCCTCAGATCAGATTATGTAAGGTTGCACAGTTGGGATTCCTGCAAAAGAAGCCCAGTTCTGACCTACACGATGAGTCCACTGATCTTCGAAGCCTCTAACTGAACCCTATAAGGGTCCAAAGCACCCAATAATTAGGTACTCGGGTTTGGGATAGTAGTTAAGTAGGTTACTGTTTTTGAGAGTATATGATAATTGGGTACTTGGACCCCTAGGGAAACCTTCGGGATTGTTGTGTCAACTGGTGGGGTTCGAGATGCTAGGTTTCTGTGGGCTCTAGCCCAAAAAGGCTGTGTTGTCCGGAGGCAGTGCCTTGTAGTGGGCCACCGCATGCCGCGGCAGCCCAATGTGGGGATTTCCGAAAACAGGGGACCCTAATACAGTACCCTAAATAGTAGGATCCCTATTATAAGGACCCCCAAATTAGGTACCCCTAATTTTCGGAAACCCCCATGTCTATAGCTTGAACCTTTGCCACCGTCTCCTGCCGGATTTTGGTTCAGAACTCTGCCGCCTCAAACCCACAACTTCCCAAACCTAAAGACAAGATGTTATCAAAGATCCCTACATATCATATTCGCTAGACCCAACGATATCAAAACCTATAAAAAACACTACAAGATCCGGTTAAAGCCCTAAAACCCCTGATTGAAGGATCATGGGATTTAGTAACTACGATTATCATTAGGGCAACTGTACCCATAATTATTGACAACCCCAGTAAAGGCACTTTGACCCATGAACCTCCAATTAGAACCCATCCAAGGGTAAAAGGAGGGACCCTCAACAAGGACCCCTAGGTATATACCCGTAATATAGCTATTATATACCCATTATATAGCCCATTATCGGGTAGGGGTCCCCATTAAGGGTCTCTCCTTTTCCCCTTTGAACCCATGAGCTGCCTCAGTAGAGTGCACGTCTTCGTCCTGAGTCCTGCAAACCGAAAACGCCACACGACAAAGGTCAGGGCTCATATATGGGCGGTTGTCAAAATTATGGTCACGTTTGGGTCCTTACTATAATACGGCACCTAGTATTTAGGGTTCCCAAAATTCGACAACTACCCATATGTAAGGCGTATTTGGCCTAGCGTTTATAGAAGGGTTGAGGATTTCGGGCTTAGGGCCAGGGTTGAGATTTAGGGTTAGGATTTAGGGTTTGGGGTCTACACCAGTGGCCAAGCCCAATATAAGCCCATGGTTGATTAAACCCTCACCCCTATAGACAAGCCGAGCCCTACATCCTGAAAGGCGGTCTCACTAAAGCCTCAACCCGTCCAATCCTAAAGTCGTAATGTAGGGGCCGAGATCATTCCCAATACTATGTAGGGGATTCCTTGTTACAACTACAATCTGATATCGACTAAAACCCTATTAACTTCTTCCCCTTGCAGGAGCCGTGGGCTAGTTCCTCATAGAGCGGCTAGGACACACGTGTGGCAGCGCTTGCTTTTGCCAAACTTGGTAGGACATCGATGATCCTTGCATGGCGTAGGATTGGCACTGTTCCTGCTCACCACAACCCATCATTCGCTTGGCTCTAGATCCTAAGATCCCAAGTGCACAGCAAGCCATGCAAACAAACGCCCCATCACGAAACCCTAAACCTTAAGTGTAACTCCCATAGCCACTTCCCAACTTCAACAACCTGGACAGTCGCGCAGCCCCTAAATCATTCAGAACCTGCTTCGAAAGCCGTATGGACACCTCATAGAACCCCTCATAGAATCCTCATGCTGTTTGGTTTAGGATGCTCAGAAGGCTTCTTTTTGAACCATCACCGAACCTTCACTCCATTTTCCGCAGCCACACGACAACGAGAGGGGCGCCGTCCTCGCACAGAGTGCTTCTTTGGAGGAAAAGCAGCCGTCATCTGGCTTGGGATTTGAAGTCTGGTAGGGCTTCATGTTTTTGGGTGAGGAGTAGAGTCTGACAGGGTTTATAAGGTTTTGTCTATGGTTTTGCTATTGTGTGGCATGTTGGATTAAGGGTTTAGGGTGTACGGTCTGGGGTGGAGTTGTGGTTCAGGGGTCTTTCAACATGAGAGGCGGGCTGGGGTTACAAGGTTTAGGGTTTAACTAGTGTGGAGGTGTGCTTTCTAGTTTAAGGTTTCTGGTTGGAGTTTGGGGTACCAGGGTTTGGGAGCTAGCTGCTGTGGTGTGGAGCTTGAGCATGATGGATGCGATGCCGAGCACTCAGTTTCTCTGGTGCAGTGGATCACCCTTAGAATCAGCAGCGAGAGCATGTCCGTCGATGTCATGACATCCGCAGCTCTTATTCTCCTCGTATGGCGGTGAGCTGCCCAGCATTCACAAACCCCACGCCCTCAACCTCCAACCCTCAAATCCGAAGCCCAAGCCACAAACTCGAAACCTCCTGATGGCCAACTCAAGTTGGGTTTAGGGTTTAGGGTTTAGGATCAGTATAATCCAGTCTGTGAGTAAGTTCATCCGAAGGACCTTACACTGCATGGTTTCTTAACAAGGTCTTTCCCCCAAAGGAACTCCCAAGCAGCGTTGTGCCAAGAAGGAGCCTCTAGTTTACTCTGCCCCGGAGTCTCCAAGTATACAAATGGTACCTACTTTGGGCTCGAAAGACTAGAAGTGGTACCTACTTTGGGCCAGTTGGAGTCTACGGGTTCGACAATATACCCAAGTTCTGTTCATCACTGCCCCTCCGTGATAACCTTGAAGAGAAGGTTTTTGTCAAATATACCCAAGTTCTGTTTAAACTTATCATCGGCCCTATGTGATAACTTTGAAGAGAGCCTTCGAGAGCTGTGTGATTTTTCGGCCCAGCCATGCTGCTGCCCAAGATGGCCGGGAGCTTGGCTGGCTCTGTGGGAATGCGCTCTTAGTCTAAACCTTAGCTAAGCCCTTTTGGCGTAGGGTCTTTTGGGAGATGTTAGACTCCCCTAGACCCTAAACCTTAAGCCATTTGGCTAAGGGTTTTTGGGGTTTTAGGGTCTAGGACAGCTGATGTAATATGCCTTTGCATTCATGCTGATGTCCTTGAGCAGCCAGCCTGAGCCGAGAAACCTCATGGAATGAAGGTCTAGAGTTCAAGCAGTGGCAAATCTCACGCTTGCGAAAGACATGACCTCACCTTGTAGCAACCTCGGCGCGTTCGTGTTGGCCGGTTGTGCCGTTTGCAAGGATGCTGTGGAAAGCCTAAAACCTGAACCCCCAGAGTTTTGCGGTCGCACCTATGCCTAGAGCTTCATGTCTTCCCATTGCAAACGGTTGTTGCCTTGCAAATGTTGCTACCTTCAGGTTTCAAGTGCTTAGTACATCTTAGCACTCAGTTGCGCAGAAATATTGTCTCCGAATTAGAACCGTGCTTCAGGCTACACATTAGCAGTATCCCTAAACCCTAAACCCCTAACTAAACCCCTAAACCCTAAACTCCAGGTACCTTTAGTCCGCCTCGCCGTAGTCTGCAGGTCTCCTCTTGCATCCTATGCCCCATTCGGGGTTTCGGGTTGAGGGTATTGGGCTTAGTTACACTTAGGAGATCGGTTTCAGGGTCCTGGTCTCAGGTATGTTTGGGTTTTCGGCTTCGGGGTATTGGGTTCCGGTATGTTTAGGGTTTCGGTTTCAGGGTTTTGGGTTTAGGTACGTTTAGGGTTTGGGCTTGAGGGTCTAGTATAACGTTTGGGTATGTTTAGGGCTTAGGGTTTTGGGCACTGGCCAGCAGACTCGTATATCCTGACGGCAGTTTGGACCAGCCGCAGTACGTAAGAAACTATACAGAGCAAATCAACAGTCCCTAAGCGTCATGTACTCATATGCTGTATACTAGTCCCTCTGGAGGTATACTCTAAGGCCCAAGTATCTACTAGTGGGGTACTATGGAATGGACCCTTCGGGAGCTCCGGACAGTATTCAGCCTGTCGCATAACCCTGGCGCTTCCCATGCTAAGGCCCGATTCGCAGGCGGCATCAGAGGCGCCCGATCGCACTAACCTCTATGCCCAAAGCGTCCTAGGTACCCATATGGCAGAATGCAGGGTTTCTGTATTAGGATTACTATCGTGATGTGCGGAAGTACAACAGGATGACAATCATAGTCACAGTCGTTGTTGGGAGTAATTGGCAAAGCGAAGTGCAACTCTAATCCAATGGGATCCAACTTTTAGGTTTTAGGGTTGCAAATGTCCAAGCATCTAGAAAAGAACTCAACAAGTAGCCGCCTTGAAGCGCTACGTATAACGGAGCTACAGAGCACAACCCAAAGTGGAAACCTATGGATGTCGCGACTGAGTAAAAGTTACCCGATACCAAAAAGGGAGCCTTTTTTTCTAGGTTGCTGGGCATCCTAGGATCTGAATGTATATTCCATAGTTACGAGGTCTTGGAGACTCTGAGTAACAGCATGCGCGAGCCTGATATCGCATTTTCGAGAAGCTAGACCACAAAACGTTCCCCGAATTTTCTTTTCGAATAAACTTTGCACAAGCAAAGAAACGACACAAAACAATAGGAATCCTGAAGACCACTGCGAGTAATTCACGGCCCTATAATAACCCCCACAAAACCCCCCAAACCTATGCAACATCCGTTCCAGGCGACCCCCTTTCAAACCCTTGCGAATCCTGGGTTAAGGGTTTACTTGGATGCTAAGGAACCTACATCCTTAGGGTTCCTTGTTATGATTTCCTACATGAGTCCTTAAAAGGGAGTGTTCTGTGGGGTTAACCCTAAACCCCTAAACCCTAAACCCCTAAACTCTAAACCCTAAACCCTAAACCCTAAACCCCTAAACCCTAAACCCTAAACCCTAAACCTTAAGGAAGCCAGCAGGGTATCCTGAGCTCAGGGTAAGCCTCCAAAGTGTCGAGTTCTTGAGCTTCCGCAGGTCGCGCGACCCAAGCAGCGACTCTGAGGCACTCTCAGTGGTAGCGCAAATCATCCTACATCCATGTTCCAACTGTCTGGCTTCTACTATACTAGTACTTGGCCACTTCGGGTCGGGATTTTTGGGTTGATCACAAGTGTCATGCCCATACTCTCAATGGGCTTGAATGTGTTCCTTGAAACTAACCATTGATATTGGGGGAGCTAAGGAGCCAGGAATGATGATAGTCCCTTTAATAAGGAGCTAAAGAGCCACGGGAACCCCCAAAACCACTGGTTAGGAAATGTTGCGTAAGTCATTTCAAGGGTTGGATCTGGGAGCTAAATGGGTTCCTGTCAATGTCCCTCTGAGAGGGTTTTAAGGGTTCCTTTGAAGGTGCCTTTAAGGGTGGGTTTAGAGTTTATTGGTGAGGGTTAAGGGTTAAGGTTTATGGGTTTACGTTTGGGAATTGAGATTGGGTTTGGTGTTGAGGTTGTCATCGGAGCTGATCGGTGTGATTATTGATGTTTGTTCATCATTTTGAGGTTCCTTTAAAGGTCAGGTCCCTTTAAGGGTGGGTTTGAGGATTTCACAGGGTATGTTGAGGACTTCATGAGGGTGTACAGGGGCGTGAATAGCTATCTGCGAAGATGGCCTACCAAAGGTCTCGGGATGTTTCGATCTTACACGTCCCAGGCTTTAGAGCCCTGTAGTAAAGTAAGGCACAGACGGAAGGCGCTGCATCGCACGGAGGTCCTTATCAAGAAGGGGACTTAAAGCAACTCATGGCTCATTTTGGTTCCGCGCCCACCAGCCCTTAACCATAAAGAACCCATGAGAACCCTATATATGACTCGGGAGACCCCTTATCAACCCCCATAGCGGGGTCTCGTGTCCCACTTAGGGTTTAGGGTTTAGGGTTTAAGGGTTTAGGGGTTTAGGGTTTAGGGTTTAAGGTTTAGGGGTTTAGGGTTTAGGGTTTAGGGGTTTAGGGTTTAGGGTTTAGGGTTCCGGGTTTAGGGGTTTAGGGTTTAGGGTACTTGAATCAAGCCGTCGCTCCAGCAGCCCCTGGCGTGAGGCGACACGGCCTGCCTTTCATTCGGACTTTTGCCTCAACTCCTGGGTCTGGTCCTCAGGGACTTTCCCAACACAAACCCATGCCCAGGGGACTCCACCTACACCTCATATGCTACTATTAGGCTCGTTGAAGGGTTCCTTTAAGGGTTCTATAAGGTTTAGGGTATCAAGCTCCATATACACTGCCATTATGGAAATCAGATCCCAAAGACCATGCCCATAACGGTTTTGGGGGGCCTAATTCCATAATGGTAGTCCATGCAGGGTTTAGTGTTCAGGGACCTCTTGCTTGTAATTGGGAATGTACCATACATAAAAAGGGCCTGGGCCTGTAACCCGGAATTCCGGGAGGATCCAAAAAGTAGATCCCTTAATGGGGGGGTCCTATAAAGTACCGTCAGTAGTATAGGGCCCCAAAGTATGGGATCTACTTTCTCGATCCTGTCGGGGGTCTGGGAATGCTCTGATTCGAGGTATATTCCCTTGGGCTCTCTGCATGCGAGTCGCTTAAGAGGGTACAGGGGTGCTGGCATATCACAGAATACAACAATAGCTAACACCCCAACACCATGCAATCCACCCTAATATAGGGGCCTTAATGATTACCTATACTATTTTAGGGGTTGCTTATCATAACTTTTGTATAATGAGTCCCAAAACCCTATTCTAACTGCTAAGGCCCCTATAGAAAACCCTAAATCCCCTAAGCCCACCCTGCAATCTACTCCTCTCCCGCGGAGATATCGGAGTTTCCGAAAATTACGGGTTCCCTCCAAGGGATCCTTTCAGGGTTCCTTCAAGGGATCTATAAGGGTTCTATACAGGGTTTAGGGTTTAGATGGGCCATACTTGGGGTCCTTATAATTCGGATCCTACTATTTTGGGGTGCTATATTGGGGTCCCCCGTTTTCGGAAATCCCCCCTGTTGCGGCCCCGTAGGATGAAGCAAAACCCTAAGGGTCATGTACCCAAAGAGTATGCGCATGGGTAGGATGCCCAGTAGTACCCTTGTTCCCTTTTTGTAGTCCCAGGTTCCCTATAAAGTTGCCCAATACCAAGAAGGGAGCCCTTGTCATTCTTAGGTTACTGGGGTAAAGTGCCTTTTTAGGGACTACTTGAAGGCCAAAGTGTATACTATTGGGGAGCATGGACCACCAGGAAAACAAAGAGCATGAAGCCCGAGGCACAAACCCAAGAATCTTGCGACGCCCCACATCCCCCGAGCCCCCCTAAACGAACACAACATAAGCGCCTACAACCCGCATAGACACCTTACAACACCCTCCTTACATGAACCGATTGATTAGGATCTTTGGCCCAGGAAGGAAGAGACAGAAGACAGAACAGCTGTAGTGACACCCCCCCCCCCCGACAACCCTCTTATATACAATATATACGCAATACTAAGTCAGGGCCAACGGGGCTCTATCAATCAAGGGGCACTTGGCGTGTCCTGGTAAACCCTATAAACCCTAAACTATAAACCCTAAACCTTTGACGACTGGGTGCTGGAATAATGTAGGGGCCTTAACTATTAGCATAGGGTTTGGGGGTACATGTAATAGTAAGGAACCCTAAGGAATCATACTTGCAATTATTCAGGTCCGTATAGTACACTTGCAACGAAGCTGAGTTTAGGGTTTGGGTTTGCCCGGAGGGCGAGCCAACGCCACGAAATACAAACCCTAAACCGAAACCTAAACCCTGCTGGACTCGAGCCAAGCTGAAACCGAAGCCCTGCCCAAGGAAGGAGGAGAAGAAAGTCCCCCCTGAGACGCCCGAGCAAGTCACCCTGAAGCTCAAAGAGCAGAAAGACTATTGGAACAACCAGGCGCCTTACGTGCGTTTACTTGGGGATCACGGACCTAGCAAGTATGGTTATAAGTTATAGGTACCCTAATTGGGGTTGCAGTTTGCATGAGCAGAAAGACTATTGGATCAACCAGGCGCCTTAATTCGAATAGGGTTCCTCTAAAGGGGTCCTTTTAAAGGGGTCTTTTAGGGTCACTTTCAGTGCTACTCTGAGGGTTTAGTCTATGGAGCAACCAGGCGCCGTACTATAGGGGCCTGAAAAAACTACAACCCATTATATAATATTTACAACCAGGAACCACCAAAATAGTATAGGTAGATATTAAGGCCTTTGTAGTACTTGGGTTTCAAGTTTCGGGGTTTAGGGTTTAGAGGTTTAGGGCTTGGGTCGTGGGACCTTGCAATTATGGTTATAAGTATCTTGATTGGGGTTATACGTACTGACTTCTAAGTCCAATTGCCTTAATCATGACTGTAGTTACTAAGTCCCGTGACCCTTTAAGTAGGGTTTCGGCGTTTAGGGCTTACAGGGTGCATGTAGGTAGTTGTCAACATCATGGTCCCTTTTTGGGTCCCTATTATGATACGGCACCTATTATTTAGGGTACCCCAAAAAGGAACTTTAAATTTGACAACCACCCATGTAGGGTTTCAGTTTCGTGTCGTATTTCGACTGATATCGGACCCCAGAGCGTTGTTTGTCCACGTTGCTGTTTGCAGCGTGGTGGGGTCAGGGTTTAGGGTTTAAAGCCTTTTGTGCAGTAAGGGCTGGTTTTGAGTATAGCGCTGAGGATTTGGGGTTTCAGGGTTTGAATTTTTAGGGTTAGGGCGGTTAGGGTTTAGGAGCTAGGAGTACGGGCTTTGCAGAACCAGCACAGGACATGTTTCGCGTGTGTTTTGGTTGGAGGTCGAGTTTGGGCCGGCGCAAGCCACGTCCATACTCCGATATGCAGTGCCTGGTCCCCTACCCTAAGGGTCCATGTACTCATATAGTATATACGTTGGCCTTAAAGTAGTCCCTATAGAGGTACTTTGGGGCCAAAGTATATACTGTTTGGGTACATGGACCCTTTGGGCTACACAGCAAATACCCAGTCCCCGAAACCTTAAAGCCCGGAGAGCCCTCCCCGAAGAGTTCAAGTACCCTTAAATACCCCAAAGTAGTAGGATTCAGCTTCCGAGGGGGTTTGGCGACGGATATTCTTCCCAATTGGATACTTGGCCTTGGTAAGGCTAAGGCATACTTGGAGGGGCAGGGGACTTAGTAACTAGGTTATAAGTAGACTTATAAGTACCCTAAATGGAGTTACCCCAAATATAACCCTACTTATAACCTACTTACTAAGTCTCCTGCCCCTCCAAGTAGAATATGCTGTCTGCCAGGAGCGCTCCACAGTGAAAACCATTCTCTCTCAGTGGGGAGGCCAGTGAGTGTTTGTGGTTCTAGCTGAGAGATCCCCTCACACCTCCCGTTCTGGTTAAAAAGGTGATTAGATTAGGGTGGTATAGCATACTCTCTCTCTCTCTCTCTCTCTCTCTCTCTCTCTCTCTCTCTCTCTTTCTATACAGATAGAGTATACTTATAAAATGGGCCCTAAGAAATAACATGTGTAATTTCTATTTTCCAGCTGGCTTTCAATGTTTCATCAGACCTTAACCAGCGCCTTACACCCTGAATCTTATCAACCGTAAGCCCAGGGCCCTGAACGCATAGTTTGAACACTCAGAAATGATAGCTGTTTCCGCCAAAACCCTGGTCTTTTCATTGAGGCCGCTATCTTGCTGAACGCAAGTCTACAAAGCATTACCAAGCATTGACGAAACTTTAACACACCTGGTTCGCCCTATTCAGGCCCCTATACCCCCAAACCATATGCCCTAATATCTATAAATTGAACCCTACGCCCCTTAATCCCCCAAACTCCTTACTTAATGCCCCACACCTGCAACCGTAAGCTTCCCTGAAGCCTCAAGCCCTACAAAGAATCATGGGAGCTGGTAACTGTTTTTATCTGTCGGGTACCTGCAGTTTATAGCTACGTATGACCCCAACTGAGGTACTTATGCCATACTTACTAAGCCCCATGATCCTCCATCATAGAACCCTTATAGATTCCTGTATTAAGGAGCCCTATTATAGAACCCTAGAGCACCCTTCAACGGAACCCTTATAGATCCCTTTGGGGAACCCTTTAAGGAACCCTTAGCCATTTCAGCCCCTTTGGGTGCGCACTAGGGGCTGTCATGGGGGATACGGTTGCCGATCCAAATCCTAGGGTACCTTTAAAGGGATCTATAAGGGTACCCTTAAGGGGCTCTTTTAAGGGATCTGTGGGGTTTAGGGTGTAGGGTTGCCGATACAAATCCTGCATTACCCAGAACTTACCTTTGGATAGTAGGGAATGGAGGAATGGGGTACAGTTATAACTACTATTACTACCATTCTTCAATTCCCTACTAACCAAAGGTAAGACAAGAAGGAATATACCGTAGTTCCCATAGTTTAGGGTCTTGGTAATGCAGGATTTATATCATTAACCGTGCTTCCCCAGATCATAATTGCGAATTCCGAGCCTAGGAACCCTGCATTCTGCTATATAGGTGCTTGCAGGAACCCTTAAAGGAACCCTAAACCCTGAATGGAATTTCGACAGGAACCCTGCGATTCGGGTACTTGGGACCCTTTGGGTGCTTAGGACCCTTTCTGGTTTCTGGAGTATCATACTTGAATACTTTTTTTGGGTACCCGTTCCGTTAAGGAACCATTATGAAATAAAAGTCTATACTTTATTCTCCCTGGTTACTTCAAACTCCAGTAACAATTAGAATGGGGTTCCTTCAAAGGGATCCTTATAAGGGGATCTATAAGGGATCTTAAACCCAGAGAGCCCAATACCCCTTAATTAAGGAAGATGGCTTAAATCGCCTTGAGACTGCAGGTAACTAGGGTTACTATAAAGGTAACCTCGATGATAAGTACTTATAAGCCCAATTAAGGTACTTATAACCATACTTACTAAGTCCCATGATCCTCCAAGTAGAGACTGCAGGTCTCCTCTTCTTCGGCTTCTGGTGCCTAGTGGTCTGGATCGGCAACTCGGGCAGCCAGTCCTTCGGCTGATGATACAAATCCTGCATTATCCATAGCAAGGAATATGCCACAGTTCCCATAGTCTAAGGTCCTTAAGGTAATGCAGGATTTATATCATCAACCGTTGCCACCGTGGACCCTAAACCCTCAACCCTGAGCCCCGAACCCTTATGAGGTGCTTCCCCAGAGAGCCCAATACACCTTAATTAAGGAGTCTAGCTTAAATCATAATATGAAGCCTTATGTAAGTTAAGCCATATTCCTTAATTAAGGGGAGTTTGAATCCCCTCAACCCTAAACCCTATAGGTCCCTTTAAAGGAACCCTAGGCACATTCCTCAATTAAGGGGTATTGGGCTCTCTGGGGTCGTCGCAAGGCAAGAAGTGGAGCGAGTGGGAGATGCATCAGATCGAGAGGCTTTCCTGCGTCCATAAGGGTCCTACTTGGAGGGGCAGGGGACTTAGTAAGTAGGGTTATAAGTACGGTTATAATTGGGGTAACTCCATTTAGGGTCCTTATAACTCTACTTATAGCCTACTTACTAAGTCCCCTGCCCCTCCAAGTATAAGGGTAGGTACCATACCCAGAGGCTCCATATATAGTACCATTATGGAATTAGGTCCCGAAAGACCATCCATATTATGGCTTTGGGGACATAATTCCATACTAGTAGTATATATGGAGCCTCTAGGATAAGGGGTACTATAATAGGTACTATAAGGGAACTATAAAGGTGTACCATAAGGGTACTGTCGGGTTCCTTTACGGTTTGCAAATTTAGGGTTTCAGGGTTTTGGGTGTTTGAGTTGTCTTTTCTTGAGGGGGGCTTCGGGGGATTTCGGGAGTAGTTACGGCTTAGCGGTATCAAGGTTAGGGGTTCTAGTTCTAGAGGTTTCTGGTGCTTTCAAACGCAGGTCTTAAGCGTTTTGAAGTGTTCAGGTTCAGGGTTTTGGTTGCGTTTAGGTTCAGTCAGGGCTTGAGGCGCACCTTGCATAAGCCTTACATGAACCCCAAAAGATATTCCTTTCTAACATGCCATTGTTTGATTCGTTGAAACATGGGTCGGAACGACTTCTCCAAACCCTGCCTGTGGTCTCCACTGTTTTTTTGGCCTACCTGGTTTCTATTGAAGGGTCCAAGTATGGCGTAAATTGAGCCCCTACGCCCTACACCCTAAACCTTGAATTGTTTGGCGGGTTTTGGTTCAGGGTGCTCTACAGATTTAGGAGGGGCTTTTTCATCGGCTCGTCATGGATTCTATTAAGTGTGGTATTCGGTTGACGCGGTCCACGGGATGTTGTCAGGGTCCTAATATGGGGCCTAAACAATTACCAATGTTATTCCTTCGGGGTTTCTAATTATACGTATACTATAAAGCAGCCCAAAACCTAATTCTAATTATTAAGGCCCCTACATTACAGGCTGCATGGCTCTTCCCGAGTTCGTTCTGGGCATGGGCATAGGGATTATGTTTCATGGCGGCTTGCTAATTCCTTAAGGATCCATGTGCTCAAATAATATATACTTCGGCCTTAAAGTACTCCCTATAGAGGTACATTGGGGCCAAAGTATACACTGTTTGGGTACATGAACCCTTATCTACCCTAAACCCTCATGGTACCCTTATAGAACCCAAAGAGAAAATCCCTTAAAAGGGTTCATGGACCCTTAGGGAATTGCCGGCGCCAGGATCGCGGTTGAACAACTTAAGCCCCGAAACCGTAGAGATACGGCCGCGGAAGAGATTTCAGGTTTAAGGTTTGGGGTTGGGGTTTAGGTTTAGGGGTTGGGTTAGGGTTTAGGGTTTAGGGAACTGAACACGGCTGTTTTGTCATACTGTACGTAGGCTACTTGATAGCTGCAGGCCAGCTTTTTACACCTTTTCGAATGTGATGGTGGCAAGATGATGCACACAGTCTTGACTTCCACTAACCGATAGTCTTCTACAAGTTCCTATGTGCGGAGGACCCACGTTAAGATCGCCGCATGTTTAGCAGAGAACGACCTTCATTGTTATTGCTAATGCCATTGTTCATGGTATTCGTCGTATGATCTTCTTGTTCTCATTGATTACCACATTACTCGCAAGTACGATCATCATTTGTTACTCTAGACGCTGTAACTATATTGTTGTCGTTATTGCCAATACAGCTATTGTTATTGTTATTATCATGAGGGTTGTTATAGAGACCGTGACCGTTATTCTTCTGGCTCATAGCAGTGTTACGGTAATGCTTGTTGTTGTTTATGGCGACTTTTTTTGACAGCATAGTTAGTAGTGCTTCATCGTCACTATATGCCGCCTTCTTACAGCCTCCACGACCCAAAACCCTTAAACTCTTAAGGTTTGCTGAAGTGCATAAGCTGTATACAATCTGGTTGGAGGGTGTAGAGTTTAGGGCTTCGAAGTTGAGTCTGGGGTTTACGGTCAAAAGGACAGGGTATTTCTTCAAGCTCGCATGCTCACCAATGGGCCGCTCGAACTGGAATGTATTTTGAGGACAGGACGACCCCAATCCTAAACCCTAAACCCCAAATCCTAATCCCTACCCAACCCCGCTGTTCCCATTGCTCAGCCCTTCACATCGCAACCCCTTCAAAGCGGCTGCGAGGGAGCTCGAGGAACCTCGCAAACGTCGCCGGAGACAGACATCTGAGGAGTAGCTGCTGTTTTCGGGTTTCGGTTTAGGGTCGTCATGTGCTGAATATGGTAGCTACGGGATGTGGGGATTCTTGGTATTTGGATGGCCTTGAGGTAGGGGTAGGGTTCAGGTTTCAGGCTGTAGGATAGAGCGCACACAGCGCGTAACATCGTCATCCCCCGCAATCATTGCGAGGAAAACGTGCTCCGCAGGTCGAGTGACTCTAAACCCGACCAGAAATGGATGGGTCGAAATCATTTCTAGGAATGTTCTCAAATAGTCTTTACATGCTTCTAGTATTCAATGCCTAGACCCCAAAACACAACTCGAATTGTGAAGGCCTTTGCCCCCGAAAACACAGGAAAGGTGTAGGTTCTAAGTGCTTGAGCTCTACGCCGACTCTACATGGTACAGTCCCAAACAGCTTTACGCTTGGTTTCCTCACTCTTAAACTTGAACCCTTAGCCTTGAACCTTGAACCCAAAACCTTAAAGCTCAAACCCTGAACTCCATACCTATAGTCTCCATTGTAGTTCCTGTTCTTGGTTAACCAAAATCTTTATTATAGCGTCCTAACCATAAAGCTGGTTAACCAAAAAAAGGAACTACAATGGAGACTATAGGTATAAACCCAACGCTTGACCTCTTAGGTTCGGGGCTTAAGGGGGCGGCTTGGGGGCTCTGGAGAGTTCTGGGATTCGGGGAATCGGCTCGAGGATTGAGGGTTTAGGGCTTAGGGGGTTTAGGGTTTAGGGATTGAGGGTTTAAGGTTTAGGGATTGAGGGTTTAGGGTTTAGGTTTAGGGCTTAGGGTTGTGGGGTTGTCACCCCCCCAACCTCACACTTCACGGAGTCTTCTCCATCCTCACAGCATCCTCGTTTACGCAGTAAGAGGGCCTTAGGGTTCGGAGTTTATACGGTGTCAGAGTAACACGAAGCCAGACCCCTGGGCCCACATCACTTTACAGTACAAGCCAGAAAGTTGCAACATCATGATCCTCGTGCCCCTAAAGTAAAGTAGAGGATCCCAACACTAATCATCCTAATTTCGTGTTCCAACTTGCTGGTTTTCGCTGTATCCATGCGTAGTTTTCAGGGTTCCGGTTCGAGGATTCCGACAAGGGTTGTACCGTATATGGTTCTGACAGAGGTTCCTAAAACGGTTCCTATCAGGTATATATGCGGGTGCTAAAAGGGTCCCAGGTTATGGTTTTAGGGCAACCCCCGTCTCCTGTGGTCGCCGCGTGGCTCGAGACTGGCATCGTCTCAGCCGTGAAGGAACGTGGTCAGTGTCTTGGCGTCAATTTACGGAATCGGGACATGGCATTGGATGTAGCCCCACGGTCCCAATACCCGTGCATGGTACATGTTCTTAGTCCCCCCAACTACCCTGAATACCCACTATTGCGGACGATAAGGACTCCATGAAAGGGCCATGGGGAGGTCCTGGTTGTTGCCGTGTTTAGACCCGACCTTGGCACCCATATCGGAGTTGCCCAAAATTAAGGGTTCCATATTTTCGGCCCTTATAATAAGGAGCTTAGTCACGCCCCCATGATGTGTAAACCCAAAATCCCTGGTGCTGGGTTTGAGCTGTGTCGGGTTATTTGGTGTTGCTGGGTTTCAATTACTATAGCTCTTAGTAGGGAATGAAGGCGGGACCCTTTGTGGTAATCTCTATGCAGGTTCCTTCAATTACTAGTAATCCCTGTGCAGGTTCCTTCGGATGGAACTCCAGCCTGAACACGACAAAGCCTAAAGAACAACCAACAACCCCTGGACTCAAGAAGCATTAAGCGCTTACCCGTAGAATACCTGAAGCCTCGTGGACGTACTTGGGCTATCACATCACCCCATCAAAACCGCAACGAGATGTTGTGTTCTCCAGGTAATGTTGTAGACGGTTTACTTGGAGGGACAGGGGACTTAGTATGTATGGTTATAAGTTCTAATGGTAGAGTTAGAAGTACCCTAAATGGAGTTACCCAAATTATAACCCTACTTATAACCCTACTTACCAAGTTCCCTGCCCCTCCAAGTAGGGTCTATCCCAACAGACAAGTGGGTATAGCTTCCAGCCCGAGCTGAGATGCATAGGAAACTTGTAGCTCTTGGTTTAGGGTTTAGGGTAGGGTTTAGGGTTTAGGGTTTAGGGTTTAGGGTTTTAGCTTGCACCGCAAGACTTTCGGTTATCGAGTTACCTTGGTCTTAGGAGCTAACTTGTCCATGTTCAGGCCGTCTAGGGTAGGGTTTTCGATATCAGTGATACTCGGCTTGAAGTTTCAAGCGCACCCAAACCCTCCACACCCTTGGAGTCCTTACAAAGCCTGCACGCCCTAAGCCCAAGGATTACCATCGAACAACCAGCAAGAACATCCCCTTGTACCTGGAACCTGTAGAGTGTCCGAGGTACCCCAAACAAAAGGCACATGTGCCCGTTGCTTAGGATCACGCCCACTTCTTAGAAGGTACATTGCTTCCCCTAGGTAGTCCCGATATACTCTAGAAGCTCGAGATGCGGCCCTAAGCCCTATAAACCCTAAACCCCCACCAATCTTATCCTTACCCTTAACTATCAAGCCCTGAGCCCCTGACTGAACCCTAAACCCCGAAACCCATAAACCCTAACCCAACCCTATGCCCTATACTCCATAAACCCTGTATGCCCTAAACCTAGACGCTAGACGCGGCCAGGAGACGCTAGACCCTACGAACCTTAAACCCCTATCCGAAACCTTAAACCTACCCTAGGTAGTCCCCCTGCCTTATTCTCCTTGCTGCTCCCAGACCTGGACCTTGGATTCCGCCACGAAACCATGGCCGTTCCCGCGGTGCCTCGGTGGGTTCATTTATAACCCGAAGGGTCCAAAGTACCTTTATAGTAGAATGTAGGGTTTCTATACTAGGAATTACTATCATGATTTGGGGAAGTATCCCCCAAAACAGCACCTAGGACCCTTTGGGTAAGAGGTTAGGGAGTTACAGGGGCGAAGGGTTTAGGAAAGCTTCGGTTTTTACAGTTTAGGGATTAGGGTCTTAGGGTTGAGGGTTTTGGGTTTCGGGGTTTAAGGCATGGATCCCCAAACCCCAAGGCCGAAGCACAAGCCCAGCCACTTGGGAGGATCCGAAACGTAGTTCCCTTAAGGTTAAAGGCCAGAAAGTTGGAATATGATTATCCTAACCCTTCTATGGTAAATTATAGGGTATCCTACCATGAAACCATATTCCAACTTTCTGGAGTTTCCTATAAGGGGTTTCCTAAGTACCCTTTAGTAGTGTAGGGTCCCAATTAGGCGATCGACTTTTTAGATCCTCCTCGGGGTCTTGCGAAAGGCATGAATCTTCAGTCGGAGCCTCCCTTGGGTTTAGGGTCTAGGGTTTAGGGTTTAGGGTTTAGGGGCCTGAGTCTTCGAGGGGGTTCGTCCCCTCTGGAATGACACCCTACAGGAAGGTTCAGGAGGGCTTACAAAAGTAGTATGTAAGTATGTCGGTTTCATAATTGGACAACTCCATTTGGAGTTTGGGGCGCGTATTACATTTCCCTAGTTGTAGCATGGTTTAATCTATCGGAGTGATGTTTGCTCGGGCCTGACTGTGCCTAATGCTCCAAAGTAGTAATGTGGATCTCGCTAGAGGATTCAAGCCGGGCTTCATTCGGGTTTAGGGTATCAGGGTTCAGGTTTTAGGTTGTTTCAGAAGGGCGTGGGATGATTCTGCGTTGGAAAGTCGCGGTGTTCAAGGTTGCAGGCTCTTGGGTGTTGAGCGTGAAGGCTATTCAGATTGTTTGTCCTGGAGGTCAACAGGAGTGCCGTGGGTTGATTCAGGGTTGGGCGTTTAGGGTCCTACTTGGAGGTTCATGGGTAGTTAGAAATGGGGTTATAAGTTCCACAATATGGGATATAAGTACAGCTACCCCTCTTAAACCTAAAACCACCCATGAACCTCCAAGTAGACCCTAAACCCTATACACCTATAGAATCTCTATAGATTCCTTTAAAGGGACCCTTAAAAGGAACCCTTATAACCACGCATGAACCTCCAAGTAGGGCATCATGACGGGAGTCGGGCTGAGGGTTGGGTCTTTCGGGATTAGGATTCAGGTGGTACCCCAAGGCTCCTAAGGGGATCTAAGGCCTTTAGAGGGAACTATAAGGGATCCTTAGAGGTTCCTTTAAGGGATCTCTAGGGTTTATAGGGTTCAGGTTTTAAGGCTTGCCCTAAGGCTCCTAAGAGGGTAACTAGGGTTTTCTGAAAAGGGGATCTATAAGAGGGATTCTAGGATCTACTTTAAGGATCCTGGGGCTTAGTGCCTACCCTAAGGCTACTAAGAGGGTCATGTTTTTTTTTTTTTTTTTTGGGAGGGTTTGGGCTTTGGGGGCTAAGGTTTGGCATTTCGGGTCCAGGAGCTTCAGGGTGGGGTCTACAGTTCTAGGGCTGCATAAGAGGGTTAGGAGTTCTGGAAATACAGTGTAATTCTGTAGGGGCTTGGGTCGACCTCACTTTTGAGAGGCGTTGGGACCTAAACCAAACCGAAGTCGTACTCGTGAACCCGGAGGACCATGCGACTTACGGTGGATGGACAAAATCCTGCATGACCCAATATAAGGAATATACCATAATTCCCATAGTTTAGGGTCCTTAAGGTCATGCAGGGTTTTGTCCATCAGCAGTAGTAAGTATGGTTATAATTACCTTAATCAGGGTTATACGTAACAATAAATATGGTTACTCGGATAATTACCCGAGTTAAGTCCCATGATCCTTTAAGTACTTGGGGTATAGGAGCCGGGACTTGACAGAGGAGTCCACCAGGCAACAACCGCACCTGTGCTTCATGTATAAGTTGTAAGTTTGCAGGGTTCCTCTTCCCGAACCCATCCGAAGCCACAGACCTAAACCTTGACAGAATTCTATCTCAAACAAAGGATTCCGCTGTCAGTGGTGTTTTCAAGTATTGAGGCCTGCTTTGGGTGGGGTTCACATTATTGCTGCATATGCTGGCGAAATTATAAGTGCTTTGAAT